CACCTGTACCAGCCCTGAGCTTTGACCTTCACCAGGCTTGACCTTTCACCTGTACCAGCCCTGAGCTTTGACCTTCGCCAGGCTTGACCTTTCACCTGTACCAGCCCTGAGCTTTGACCTTCGCCAGGCTTGACCTTTCACCTGTACCAGCCCTGAGCTTTGACCTTCACCAGGCTTGACCTTTCACCTGTACCAGCCCTGAGCTTTGACGTTCACCAGGTTTGACCTTTCACCTGTGCCAGCCCTGACTTGTGTCCTGTCCTGGCCATGACCCGTGACCTGTGTCAGGCTTGATCTTTGACCTCTCCCTGCTTTGTTCTTCACTGTGTCTCTGAGCTGAACTAGATCAGCTCTTAAACTGACCGTTACCTGTCTGCTGAACTGACTGCAGTTTAACATGTGACGTCTCTCTCCACAGACAGAGAAGACCAGTCCATTCTGTGCACGTGAGTATCGTTCTGTGTTCCATTAATAACCCTGAGGCTGTGTCTTCTGTCTTTTTCTGTATTAATTACCCTGAGTGTGAGTCCTCTGTCTGTTGCTGTATTAATAACCCTGAGTGTGTGTCCTCTGTCTGTTGCTGTATTAATAACCCTGAGCCTGTGTCCTCTGTCTGTTTCTGTACTAACAACCCTGAGCCTGTGTCCTCTGTCTGTTGCTGTATTAATAACCCTGAGCGTGTGTCCTCTGTCTGTTTCTGTTTTAACAACCCTGAGCCTGTGTCCTCTGTCTGTTGCTGTATTAATAACCCTGAGCCTGTGTCCTCTGTCTGTTTCTGTATTAACAACCCTGAGCGTGTGTGGCTGTGTTGTTGTATTTAGGCAGTGTGTGTTGCTGTGTGTTGTTGTATTAGACCAGTGTGTGTTGCTATATTAAGCCAGTGTGTGTTGCTGTGTGTTGCTATATTAAGCCAGCGTGTGTTGTGTGTTGTGTCTGTTGTGTGGCAGCGGGGAGTCCGGCGCAGGAAAGACAGAGAACACCAAGAAGGTGATCCAGTACCTGGCCCACGTAGCCTCGTCCCACAGGCCCGGACCAGCAGGCCCAGCCCGGTCCACAGCACAGGTACTGTACGTTCCTGACCCAGAGAGACACTCTAGAGAATCCCAGTGCAGCCCAGTGCAGTCCAGTCCAATGACAGTGTGGAGAATCACAATACTGTCCCAGTCCAGTCCAGTCCAGTGACAGTGTGGAGAATTATAGTACTGTCCCAGTCCAGTCCAGTCCAGTCCAGT